CTTCATAGATGAGGAAAGAAAGAATCTAAGAAGAGAGGGCGAACTTAGAGATGGTGTTGTCAGTCGCCTGTTGAGTTTTGTCTTCGTTGCCGGTCAACGGTAATAGATTCTGAGGGAGCACGATCTGGAGCCTTGGTTGAAGTTTCTTGAAGAAACAATGATATGAAGGCGAGAGAGGCTAGGGTTGTGATGATATAAACGAGAACATCGTTTTTAGGTTTTAAGTTAATGCTACAGTGTTAGGAATTAATTTCTTTGCACAGTACAGAAAGTAAAGAAAGTGAGAATTTTTCACTTTCTCTTCTATTCTCTTCACAAAATTAGAAATTACTTTCTCAAAATGAAAAAGCGAAAGTAATTTAATAAACGTAATTTTATTTTTATTTTTGCTTTTTTCAGAATTGACAGTCAAAAGTAGGAATTAATTCTAGTTACTAAACAAACCCTAAGTAATTGTCATAAAAAAGAGCGAGAGAGTGAAAGAGAGATAAAAGTATGTAGAAAATCTCCGAGGAATTGTGGGTTGGCCGTGGACTAACGTCGATCGCCGCTGATCAGAAAATAGTTTTGGAGAAAGATAGCAAGAGAGAAAATTTGGGCCTGTTTTTCTTGCTAGGGTGTCGATTTAAAGATAATTTTTTTTTTAATTTTAAAAGAATTATGAGTATATATGATAAAAGAAACAAAATTACTCTTATAATTTGTTTTTGATCTTTCGTGATTTCGGTCCTATAAGGAGTTAAGTTCTCGTGTAATGCACGTGCTTTTGTTTTTTACTAGTACATATAGATATAGATGTTTAAAAAAAGTCCTTGAGGTTTCACCAAATGAGCACAATACCCCTTTATGATCGGAGGTGAAATGTAAGGAGGCAAGTTGCTCACTTTTGAAACTACAGGGACTATAATGTTCACGTTTATACCATAAAAGGGTGTTGTGCTCGTTTGGTGAAACCTCAAGGATTTTTTTTGAACATTTATATTTATATGTACTAGTTGTGACAACCTGGATTTTTAAGATTTTAATTTATATTTATTTCATCATTTTTAATTGTCAAGATTGATTATTTAATTATGATTGGATTTACCCAATTGAGATATTTAATGGGTTTGATATATTGTCACAAAGTGTGTGCATATATATATATATATATATATATATATATATATATGGCATCTGAAAGAATGAAAACATGGGCTGCCGAAAAAGTAAGAAAAGGAAAAGGAAATATAATGATAATGTGGCGGGTCCCACTGGGGGATTTTTTTATCAATTTCCTTATTGTTTTACGTGGCTGAGATGGAAGATAAGGATAAAGGAAAGGTAAAGTAAGGGAGAAAGTGGCGGGGTCCACTATTGATGTGTTGATTTTTTAATAGATATTTGTTGGTGAGCAGTGATTTTGTGTCGGTACGATTACCTATAAATTGAGTGTTGTGTGTGCTAAGTGATAGAAAGAAAGAAAGAGAAATTAAAGAAGTACAGAGAAGATGAAATAGATTAAGGACATACAGAAAACCGAGAGTTTAGAAGCGATGATGCTCAGATGAATGATTTATTTTACAGCGTAGGGTTTTTTATACCTTGAATGGCTTGATGGTTTTGTTTCAAATATTTTATTGACTGTTATTTTACTCAAATTGCATATATGTATTTTTGTTCAAAATCATACGTATATTTTGTGAAGCTAATTTTCATGAAACTCCTTGAAATTTATGGTTTTTCCTATTGGGACTTCCCCCATCTCACCCTCTTCCAGTTTTAGGTACTGAGAAGGAATGTGGATTGCTAGTTTCAGGTTTAGGTGGAAGAGTTGGCGTTATGGGATTTATTTTATTTATTTAGAGATGTTGTTTTTATTTGAGGAAATTGATTTTTGTATCAATAAAGGATTTTTTTTTTATTTTTTTTATGAGACTGGGTGTATATTGAAGTATTTTGAAATTTAATGAGATTGAGGAATTTTATTAGAATTTTTGGGCCGTTACAAAATGGTATCAGAGCTTGACCCAGCCGGAAGTGTGAGTGTAGCGATGATGTAGCTAGACGAGTGTGAGTAGGCGAATGTTTGGTACCAGCTAGCTACCACTCGTAGTCGGTTGTGTGTGTGCGGATATCGTTTACTGGCAGCTACTATGATGATTACTGTTTGTGATTGGGCATGTGTCCCTATTCACTATTGGTTCTATTTTTGTAGGCGGGTGATGACATCGACTATCTACCATAACGGTTACGGAGTGTGTGAGCGAGTAACTAGCACTGTCAGCTACCACAACGTTTTACATGTCACGATATCTCACATCGCCCGGGGTAAGGATTTTTGGATTTTGTTTTGTGATTTTTGATATTTTCGGGTTTGCGAAAACTGTTGGATCTGAATTTTCGGACGAAATTCTTTTTCAATGGTAGAGAATGTGACATCCTGGATTTTTAAGATTTTAATTTATATTTATTTCATCATTTTTAATTATCAAGATTAATTATTTAATTATGATTGGATTTACCCAATTGAAATATTTAATGGGTTTGATATATTGTCACAAAGTGTGTGCATATATGTATGATATATATATATATAGTGTCAGTTGGAGAAAGGGCAAGCCGAAATTTGGGATGAGAAAGAAAGATGGGTTTGATTTGGTTTGTATGTATATATATATATATATATATATATATATATATATATATATATATATATATATATATTTATGACATCTGAAAGAATGAAAAGGGGGGTTGCCTAAAAGGTAAGAAAAGGAATAGGAAATGTAATGGTAATGTGGCGGGTCCCACTAGGGGATTTTTGGTTAATTGCCTTAGTATTTTTCGTGGCTGAGGTTGTAGATAAAATTGTGATGATGGAAGATAAGGATAAAGGAAAGGTAAAGTAAGGGAGAAAGTGGCGGGGTCCACTATTGTTGTGTTGATTTTTAAATAGATATTTGTTGGTGAGCAGTGATTTTGTGTCGGTACGATTGCCTATAAATTGAGTGTTGTGTGTGCTAAGTGATAAAAAGAAAGAAAGAGAAATTAAAAAGTATATAGAAGATGAAATAAATTGAAGACACACAGAGAACCGAGAGTTTGAAAGTGTTGATGCTCATATGGATGATTTATTTTACAGCGTAGGGTTCTTTATACCTTGAATGGCTTGGTGATTTTGTTTCAAATATTTTATTGACTGTTATTTTTCTCAAATTGCATATATATATTTTTGTTCAAAATCTTATGTATATTTTGTGAAGCTAATTTTCATGAAATTCCTGTTATGGTTTTTCCTACGGGGACTTCCCCCGTCTGTGATACCCCCGGATTTTTGAATGCGGGTTAGCCAGGCCCACACCCAAATGCCCGAGGATATCAAAACAAATCGGTAATAAATAAACACAGAATATAAAAGGATAAACAAGAATAGATATAATGCTGAAAAGAAAACTGATAGGGAAAAATAACCCTAGCCTATCTTGACTTAACAAAAAAAGGAATTAAATATTGACCTGCCACCAGATTTCTCCAACTCTCAGACGATAATATCTCGTTATTAAGGATAACCATTCTGTTAGATAAGAATGATGACAAATCGTATCTAGGATAGGATTTGTCATGGGATAAGTTCAAATCTTATCAAGGATAGGGTTTCCACGAGGTAGGCTCCATGGGCTAAGGATGATGAAACTCCCTTATCAAGAATAAAGGAAGTGACTATAAAGACAAAGACGACTCGGGGATAAGGTACACACAAAAAAAACTCCTACTAAGCAAATTACGATTAAAATTCTCTATCGAGAATCCTTGCTAACTTGATCGTCGGAGGGTCAACGGCCGGCACCACACCGGTGTTTGACTTTGCCATCCTTATTTTACAGGAAACGGTGTCGTACTAGACCGCGGCGAAATTCAACCTCAATAGTTGGCGCCGTCTGTGGGAACAGCGATTTCCTTGAATCGATTTATTACTCGTTGGGTATAGACGTTTGCGGTCCGGTATGGTTACCGAAGGAACACCGTCGCAGGGATCTGGTCTAAGGGAAGAGTCGGGTCAAAATCTAGACGTCCCAAATGACCAGACACGATTTGCAGCGTTGGAACTGCAAGTTCAAACTCTGAATCAGGGTATGGACCAGTTGATCCAACCAAATGCAGCACTCCTACAACACCTTGTTCCACCGGTTCAACAGGGCTTGCCACGCCAAGACCTCTCGAATCCAAACAGGGGTAACAGGAATCTGGAAGAGCAGGATACTCATCCTCCCCGACATGAGACCGAAGTTGAACAAAGCCAGGTGGGAAACCGACATAGAGAGGTGATCCACCCCTTTCTTCCACGCAGTTCCCGACCCCATGAAGACACGACTGTCATTGAAAAGACCGAGGAAATTTCCCACGTTGACCTAGAGATGCAGGATCTCAAGGCAAAGATGGAGGGTGTGATGCAGGCCATAAAGGGAAAAGGCATTGCAGCCATAGATGGTTTGGTGCAGAAAACCAATTTGCCATTCAGCCCCTCGGTTATGAAATGCCCTTTGCCAAGCAAATTTAGAATGCCCACAATTGAGAGTTTTGATGGAACTAAAGATCCCCTCGACCACTTGGAGACTTTTTAGGCTCTTATGCACCTACACGCGATGCCGGATGAGATCATGTGCAGGGCTTTCCCAACGACTCTTAAAGGATCAGCACGGGTATGGTTCAACAAACTAAAGCCAGGAACTATCGAAACCTTTGAAGAATTGAGTAAGGGCTTTGTAGGCCATTTCATTGCTGGCCAGAGGCATAGAAGGCCGGCTACCCACCTCCTTACTGTGAAGCAACAGAAGGGAGAGTCACTGCAAGATTACATTAGTCGTTTTAACACGGAGATGTTACAGGTGGAGGAAGCGGATGACAAGGTGGCCCTAGCCGCCTTCATGGGAGGACTTCAAACCTCAAGATTTCTCTTCTCTTTATCAGAGGAACCTCCTACCAACATGGCCGAGTTATTGGTTTGAGCTAAAAGACATATGAATGCTGAAGATGCAATGATTGCGAGAAAGGGAAAAGAAGGGGAGGATAAGAAGTCAGACAAGAAAAGGCCGGCCCTGACGATCAGAGATGAAAAGGAAACCAAGTATAAGAAACCCATGGTCAACCAGAATGAAAGGGCATCTCGCTATAAGAACACGGAGAGGTATACAAATGACACTCCTTTAAATATGCCGATAGATAAAGTTTTCCTACAGATCCAGGATGAACCATATCTGAAGTGGCCACCTAAGTTGAAGTCAGATCCGGCAAGGAGACCTCGTGCTAAGTATTGTAGGTTCCATAAAGACCATGGGCACGCTACAGAGGATTGCTTCGACCTTAAGGATCAAATTGAGACTCTGATCCGAAGGGGGCACATGCAAAAATTTATTGTGGGGAATGACAGAACCGACATTAACCCACTAAGAGCAGGCCGAGATAACCACCCTCCTGATCAACAACCAATAGGAGAGATCAGGGTCATAGCCGGGGGGTGTGCAGGAGGTGGAGAATTGAGCTCAGCCCGTAAGGCCTATGCAAGGAGAATGCGAAGCTCATCTGAGGTGTGCGAAGTGGGAGTACAGATTCAACATCGAAAGATGCCTCGTTTAGGTGATCCAGTTATTACATTCTCAGATGAAGACATGAAAGATGTGCAGCAGCCTCATGACGACCCTCTTGTTGTCACCATGATGATCGCTAACTATAATACTCGGCGAATCTTGGTAGATAACGGAAGTTCAACTAATATCATTTTTCTTGATGCATTCAGCAAGATGAAGATTGGTAAGGAGAAACTCAGACCTACCAGATCACCATTGGTGGGATTCACGGGAGACAAAGTCTATCCTCTAGGAGCAGTCATCCTTCCTGTCACTGCAGGAACTAGCCCAAAATAAGTCACTGTCATGGTCGACTTCCTGGTGGTGGATTATCCATCTGCTTACAATGTCATCCTAGGAAGAGCAACCTTAAATTCGATGAGGGCTATCACTTCGACTTATCACCTATTAATGCGCTTCCCTACCGAGCATGGCGTGGGCGAACTAAGAGGAGATCAGTCCATTGCCAGAGAATGCTACGTTGCCTCTCTCAAAGAAAAGAGACAGCAGGAGGCTTTGATTGTCGATGAAGTTGAAGAGAATGAGCAAGACCGGGCTAAGCCAATCGAGGACTTGGTGGAGATATGCTTGAATGACACTGACATAACAAAAAAGGTGAAGATAGGGTCTCTGCTCCCCTCAGATTTCACAAATATTCTTATACAGTTCCTCAGACAGAATCAAGATGTATTCGCTTGGTCACATGAAGACATGCCCGGTATTAATCCAACCACGATTGAGCATCGATTAAACACAGATCCTACATTCAAACCTATCAGGCAAAAGCGAAGAACATTTGCCGCGGAAAGGAACATGGCTATATCAGAAGAGGTGAATAAGCTTATGAAAGCTGATTTCATCCAGGAGGTTCATTATCCCGACTGGTTGGCCAATGTTGTTTTGGTAAAAAAGGCCAATGGAAAATGGACGTTGTGTGTAGACTTTACGGATTTAAATAAGGCGTGCCCCAAAGACAGTTTCCCTCTGCCAAGAATTGATATGTTGGTAGAAGGGACAGCTGGCCATGAGCTGCTCAGTTTTATGGATGCATACTCAGGGTATAACTAAATCTCAATGCACACGCCAGACAGAGATAAAACCTCTTTCATCACGGACAGAGGTTTATATTGCTATAAGGTGATGCCTTTTAGGCTAAAAAATGCTGGTGCAACATATCAGCGGCTAGTAAACCTGATGTTTAAGGACCAAATCGGAAGGAATATGGAAGTGTATGTGGATGACATGCTGGTAAAAAGCTTGAAAGCTCAAGACCATCTGGTTGATCTACAGGAAACGTTCCAAGTCCTCAGGAAACACCAGATGAAGCTCAACCCAAGTAAATGTGCCTTCGGAGTCTCCTCTGGGAAATTCCTCGGTTACATGGTAAGTAGAAGAGGGATAGAAGCTAACCCTGAGAAGGTCCAGGTGATTCTCAACATGCAGTCTCCAGCATCGACCAAGGAACTTCAAAGATTGACAGGAAGGATCGCAGCTCTGAATAGGTTGATTTCCAGGGTGACCGATAGGTGTTTGCCTTTTTTCCGTGTGCTTAGGAAAGCTTTTTCATGGACCCCTGAGTGTGAGCAAGCTTTTACAGAGCTAAAGGAGTATCTCACTTCACCACCATTATTGTCGCGGGCGATGCAAGGAGAACAGTTGTATTTGTACTTGGCAGTTTCTCCGTCGGCAGTAAGCTCAGCCTTGGTCCGCGAAGAGGATGGAAACCAGAAACCGGTATATTATATTAGTCGTGCATTCAGGGGGGCGGAAGAAAGATACCCAAGGATAGAAAAGTTGGCATTTGCTCTAGTTATCTCCGCGAGGAAACTCAGGCCTTACTTCCAAGCTCATACAATCAGGCAGGTTCTCCACAAACCTGATATTTCAGGGCGACTCATGAAGTGGTCGGTAGAACTTGGAGAGTTCGATATCCAATACAAACCCCGAACGGCCTTAAAAGCCCAGGTACTGGCAGATGTTATAGCGGAATTCACACCTAAAGATGGGCCCGAGCATGTTGCAGACAAGCAGGAAGAAGCCGAATCTACTTGGACGTTATATGTGGATGGGTCTGTCAACGCCCGTGCAAGTGGGGCAGGGCTAGTAATTATCTCCCCAAATGGGGAATGCATCAAATATGCACTCAGGTTTGGTTTTAAAGCACCAACAATGAGGCAGAGTATGAAGCCCTCCTAGCAGGCCTCAGGATGGCGAAAACTTTGGAAGTTGAACGACTAGTAGCATATACTGACTCTCAACTAATAACTGGACAAGTCCAGGGGGAATATGAAGCCAAGGATGAGAAGATGAAGACCTATTTAGATAAGATAGAGGATATCAAGGGTTTTTTTAAGAAGTTTTCTATTCACCGGATTCCCCGAGAAGAGAATGCGCAGGCAGACGCCCTGGCTCGACTGGCAACCACAGAGGAAGATAAAGCCATACCCGTGGGATATTTGGATGAGCCTAGCACAGTCTGGGATTGGCCACAGAAAATACACCAGGTGGCCCATGGCATGGAGTGGGCAGAACCCATTATCAGGTACATTGAGAACGAAGAGCTACCCCAGGACCGCATGGAAGCACGAAAGATTAGGATGCGTGCGGCAAAATATTCCCTCGTTGATGGGGTTCTCTACAAGAAGGGATTTTCTCTACCCTACTTGCGTTGTGTCTCTATTGATGAGGCAAATTACATTCTAAAGGACATACATGAAGGCCTTTGTGGAAATCATGCTGGGGGCACATCACTAGCGCATAAAGCTATCCGACAAGGATACTTTTGGCCTACTATGAGGACAGATGCACTTGAGTTTGTGAAGAAATGTGACAAGTGTCAGAGATTCGCCAATGTCCCAAAACAACCAGCAGAAAAGTTAACCCCTCTTACAGGGCCGTGGCCTTTTGCCCAATGGGGGACAGACCTCATCGGCCCCTTACCCCAAGGGAAGGGACAAACTAAATACGTAATTGTGGCTATCGATTATTTCACCAAATGGGTAGAAGCTGAGCCATTAGCTCATATTGGAGCGAATGAAGTAAAAAAGTTTTTCTGGAAGACAATAATCTGCAGGTTCGGAGCACCAAGGGTAATTGTGACCGATAATGGGAAGCAGTTTGAAAGTGAGCAGTTCCTCGATTTTTGTAATGAACTTGGGATCAAAGTTCATTTCTCCTCTCCTGCCCATCCCCAGGCCAATGGGCAGGTTGAAGTCACGAATAGGACAATATTGAAGATGATCAAGATGCGCCTAGAAAAGGCCAAGGGCTTGTGGCCTGAACAACTACCCGGAGTTTTATGGGCCTATCGCACTACCGTAAGAACCCCTACTGGGGAGACCCCTTTTGGGTTAGCTTTTGGAAGTGAAGCTGTGATCCCGGTAGAAACAAAGGTTGCTACCTTCAGAACCAAGTATTTTGAACCTCAACAGAACGGAGTGGAACTACAATTAAACCTAGACCTGGTAGAAGAGAAAAGGGAGCAGGCCCAGGTCAAGGTTGCGGCTTACCAGCGGATGATATCCAAGTACTACAATGCCCGAGTCAAGCCAAGGAGGTTCGAACCAGGAGACCTGGTGCTTCGTGAGGTTACCCCGGCTACTAAGGAAAAGGGGGAAGGAAAGTTAGCTCCCAATTGGGAGGGCCCTTATCGAGTAACCAAAAGCAACAGACCGGGGGCATACTGGTTAGAGTCACTTGGTGGGAGCCAGCTTCCCCACCCGTGAAATGCAGAACATTTGAGGAAATATTACCAGTAGGTACTCATGCCAGGCTGTGTTTTATTTTATTATCTCACTTTTAAAAGTGATAGAGTGTTTTTAGCTACAATAAAGCAGACCAGTGTGTAACGGATGCTAATATTCAACTATCGATTATTATTTTCGATAGGTCTTTAATAAAATGGTTATTCGTATTTATTGCACGTGTTTCTACTGAATTTTATAAGTCACATAAGGACTAGTGACACATTAAGTCCCCTTCTTTATTAAAAGAAATAAGTGACTTTTCCTTACTAAAGGGACGAGCTGGGTGAAGCTCGTAAAAATATGTTCCTTCGAAAGAAGGACTGGCTGAGTGAAGCCTGGGAAAGTAAAATGAGTTCTGTATAAGGAAACAACAAGTATGAAACAATACCATGAAAGACAAAAGTAGAGCAACTATTCTCTGGATTCAAAGATATTCTAAAAAGTTTTAAAGGAACAACATACTGAGAAATCAAAAAACCTGATATATATATATATATATATATATGACTAATACTATGGAATTCAATCTTCCTCTTCGCTCTCACTTAGAACGTCATACCTAGAAAAGTCTATGTCTGGACGATCTTTGCCGACAAGAGCTTTGAACCGGTCAAAACCATCACAGCAAGCCTTGCCTATGAACACCTTGAATTCATCAGAATTTTTAAAACTCTCCACGGCAGCTAGCTTCTCGAATTCCAGCTTATCAGAGTATTCTTTGGTAAGTTTCACTTTCTCATCTTGAAAGTTTAATTTTGCATTAGTCAAGTCATCTTCTTTTATTTTAAGTGTAGAAGTAACATCTTCATATTTAGCCTTGAGGGAAGCCATCTCTAAGGAAAGCTTCTCGTATTCTTTGGCGATAACAACAGAGTATGTAGTGCCCTATAAATAAATAAATAGTGGCAAACAGTTAAAAATAAATAAATAAATAAACGAAAAAAAAAGAGATGCGCATAATAAGGGTAAAATCTCACCTGGCTAATTAGATGAAGAAATTTCTTTGAAAGCTCAGATGCTGGCAGACTCTGCAATCTGGCAGTGTCGTCTTTTACTACCATTTTATGTAACCTGTCATTCGCGACATTAGCGTCATCGAGAATCGATTCCCCGTGGGAAAAGGCTTGGTTGGTTGATACTGAACAAAAACTTTCGAAACTAGTAGGAACCCCACCAAACCCGCTGAAACCTAGAGGTACAAGAGTAGGACCTGATAACACTCCAGGGCTTGCGGATGTACCATGATTCCCTTCTCCTACCCTTCGTAATTTTTTGGAAGCAGGAGTAGAAGGGAGATTACTTGACCGGACTTGGGCTAGGAGTCTTTTACTGAGCTTCTTGCCTGCATAAAAAGTAATAAGGGAAATACTTAATGAGATATTAACTAAAAATCAATAAGTTCACATATAAGTATGTTTGTCTTTCTTACCTTTCTCTAAGTGGGTGGAGGTTTCCTTTGAGCTATGAGCTCGTACATACAAATCTAAAGCCTCGTCAGTTATGAGATCGCTAAAGGTCTTTACTGGGTAAGAAGAGGCATTACCAACATGC